GAAAACCTGGATAAAAGGGAATTACTTCAGTGTATGCTGGTGTTTGCAAATCTCCTTGGGCTGGAAGGGACATCCTTGGTTTGTCTTTCCAAAAGAATGAGGGGCAGCATACATATGTAGGTAAGAATAGGTATAGCAGAAAATGAGTCCTGGTGTACTGACTTCCAATCCAATTCCCTTCCTACTTCGTCCCTATTGCTAAGTTGAAGCTATAGACAAGGATAAAAATGGTGATAAATAAGAGAGCTCCAAAATGAGAACCAGCCCTGGAAAGACCCCAAGGCTTCCCATAACACACTTCGTGATGTGTTAAAAATTCCATTTACTTCATTTCCCTTTTAAATCACCTTGGTGTTAAAAGCCATGAGTTCTTATCCATGGTTAAATCATCAGCCCTCCTGGCAGAAAGTGCTGAGAGTGATCAGTGTATATAGACACATAGACCTTCTTTTCTTGAAGAAATATTTTCTTATTAAGTCACTGACTCCATATTCTACTGTATGAATTTTTTCCATTCCTGATATGATTGCAGTGAAATGTCAGCTAAGACACCTTTTTATAGATGTAACAAAGTTTACCTGTGATACCAAACTCTTCCCCTTTCTGTCTACTGGTTTTCCATGGGTGTTACCCATTCCTAGGGAATGTTATAACTTTTAATTGAAGAAAAAGTAGTTGATCTTACTACTGCAAGATCAACTTTCTCTTTTTCTTGTGGTTAAGAAAACGATGCCAATAGGAGTTATGCCCTTTTCTCATTCCTTCTAAACGCATGCATTCAGCCCTCTCCACCACTGTAAGAGACTTTAAATTTAGATATTGACCAAAGAAAACCTGGTTTTTTTGGTGACGGACACATGCTGAGCTGTACAAACAAGCTGAGGCTACTGCGGTTGGTATTGCATTCATCTTATTATAGAGATCCATACAATTCTCCATAGATCTATCTGCACTATCTCTGCTAGATGGAGAATATGGTCACTCAGAAAGCCTAGTGCTCGGGAGGAGCTGTTAACACTCTATCTCTGTAAGACATACCTATATAGGCCAAACGGATGTTTAGACTCTTCAGTCACCTACCTTAAAACCAGTGAAGGAGATGGAGGGCAGGTAACAGGTACTATTGTTATTATTTCTTTTTTGTTCATACAACCCTTAAGTGGGCTACAGGGAACTTTATAAAGATTAATTAATACACTGCGTAGTCATCTATTTATTTGAGAAGGAAAACCTCTGCATATAGCACTGACAGATTTAGAAATGTATAATATTTGGGGCACACTTATACTAATAAACTGCTGCTTACCTAATATTTAAGTTTGACTAGGAGTCCTTTATTTTATCTGGCAAACCTACATATATAAATAGCAATGCTGACATGCCCCAGGTCCCTATAAAATATTTTTGTTAAGTTCCCACCCCTTTTCAGATGAGGGGATTTGGTCAAGTATTTTATTTTACACAAGATATAAAACTAGGAATGTGATGTAGTAAGTAGTATGATGGTCTAAAAATATTTAGATTTATTGAAAATATGATCTTTTTTACTCATGTACTATTTTTCAAATAAAGAATTATTTGTTCCATTTTTTATTTATTCAGAAAATATTAATATTGATAGAAATCATGCCAGATATTGTCTTTCCAACTCCAGTCCTCATTGGGGCCCAAATGTTTTCAGGCCAAAGGACAGAAAACCTACTGAAGCCCTTTGTTGCAAGTACTCAAGAAAGTAAGTCCACTCTGTTCTAACTAATAGCATGGGCCACGCAGTGGTGCTGGTTCTCAAACCTGTTTGCCACCTGTTCGTGACAAAGTAGGTACAGAAATTAAGAATCGGATTTAACAAAAAACATTTATCAGGTGTCAGGCGGGGGGAGGGGGAGGAGGGGATGGATATATATATATATACATTATAAGTTTGATATGCATTGTCAGGGGGATGGACACGCTTGAAGCTCTGACTTGAGGGAGGAGGGAAGGCAAAAGCAATGTATGCAACCTTAACATTTGTATTCCCATATTATGCTGAAATAAAAAAAAATGTATAACTTGACAGATTAATTTTTGATGAATCTAAAAATTTAAAACAAAAAGTCTTCTATATGTTTCATTTTATGTTTCACATTATATTAATAATTATCTTTTAGAAAGAATTTAATTTTTAGAATAGTTTTTTAGATTTATAGAATCATTGTGAAGATTTATTTGCTTCTATTTTCTGGATTGGTATCATTTTTTATTTAAATGTTCGGCATTAATAGAATTCATCAGTAAAGCCATCTGGATCTGTGCTTTCTCTTTTGGAAGAATTTAAATTATTGCTTCAATTTAATAAATATGTGCATATTCAGATTGTCTATTTCTGTTTGACTTTTGATAATTTGTATCTTTCAAAGAATTGGTTTGTTTTATAACAATTAGCAGGTCTGGGGACATGGAATCATTTGTAGTATTCCTTTACTATCCTTTTACATCTGTGGGATTAGTAGTGATGATCTATTAATTAGTTTAGTTTCCTATTGCTATTGTCACAAATTGCCACAGATTTAATTGCTTAAAACATCATAGATTTATTTTCTTTCAGTACCTAAGTCTTAAAAACATTTATTGATCTAAAACCAAGCGATTGCTATGACTGGTTCCTTCTAGAGGCTCCAGGAGAGAATCCATTCTTGTCCCTTCTAGTTTTTGGAGGCCACATGTGACCCTTTCAGCCATCTTCAAACAAAGCTGCATAACATCTTCTTCTCCTCTGAACTGCCTCTCTCTCATGAGGACCTTGTGATTACACTAATGTATCCAGGATAATCTCCCTATCTCAAGATTCTTAATTTAATCACATCTGCAAAGTACTCATTGCCATATAAGGTAACAACATAGTCCCACATTCCAGAAAGTAAAACTTCTTTGAAGAGAGAGCATTTTTCAGCCTACCACAATCTCTATTTCTGATATTGCTAATTTGTGATTTCTTCTTTTTTCTTCATTAGCTTGGCTAGATATTCATGAATTTTATTGATTTTTTTAAAATAGTTATTTTAATTTTTGTTTTTAGTTTCACTGATTTATATTTTATTATATGTCTCTTCTGCTTGCTTTACAATTAAATTGCTTTTCTTTCTCTTGTCTCCTAAACAGTAGATTTGGATTATTGATTTTAGGTCTTTTTTTCTTTTCTGATATATTAATCTAATATTATAAATTTTCTTCTAAATACTACTTTCATTATATAGCATAAATTTAATAAATTATATTTTCATTTTCATTTAGTACACATAAGTTTTTAAATTTCTTTTGTGACTTTTTTTGCTTCATGTTTTATTTAGAAGTATGTTGCTTAATCTCCAAATATTTTGGAATCTCCCAGCTATGTTTCTGTTTTTGATTTCTAGTTTAATCCTTCTGTGATCTGACAACATACTTTGAATCACTTCTATTCTTTTCAATTTATTAAGTTATGTTTTACGCCCAGGAATGTGCTCTATTTTTGTGAATTTAAGCTTTAGAAGAATGTGTACTATGCTGTTGGATGGAGTATTCTCTAAATGTCAATTCAATCAAGTAGATTGATAGTATTACTCAGGTCAACTATATTCTTCCTAATTTTCTGCCTACTTGTTCTATCAAGTACTAAAATAAATATTAAAGTCTCTAAGTATAACAGAGGATTTTTCTATTTCTCATTTCAGTTCCATAAGTTCTTATCTCTTAATGTATTTTGATGTTCTGTTGTTAGGTACATACATGTCAAGTATTATTATGGCTTCTTGGAGAATTGACCCCTTTTATCAATAATGTTCCTTTTTGTGAAATCTTCTTTGTCTAAAGGTAACATACTACTCCAGCTTTTTTATTTATTATTATTAATGTCTGCATTGTAAGTCTTCTTCTGTCCCTTTACTTTTAATGTATCTGAGTATTTACATTGAAAGTGGTTTTGTGGTGACAATATATAATAGGACCTTTTAAAAAAAAATTACTCTGACAATCTTTCTTTTAACTGATGTATTTAGAACATCCAAATATAAAGTGATTGTTGATATAGCTGGAATAGTATCCACCAGGTCTGTAGCTGTTTTCTATAAGGACACTTACTCTCTGTTAAGACTCTCATGAGATCTTTTTATCTGGAAGTAGGTAAAAAGTAGTTATTGAGAATTCTCTGGGCTGATTTCAGAATGGTTTCTTTTTTCCTCTTTCTGCCAGTGCCAACAGGGGATTATTCTTGACTCTTCACTATAAGAAACTGGTGGGATTCCTGGAGGTGAATGCCATGAAAGTGTGGGGGCTTTCCTAGGACTGCAGCCTCCAGGAGTTTCTCACTCTTAATGCCAATCCACATTCAACATCCAGCAATTTCTCAAAATTACCACATAAATGTTCTTAACAGTTTATAGTACTAAAGGTCTCTGCTGTGGGTAAGGAGAAATTTAAAAAGCTCTATTTATTTGGGTGCTTCTGCAGATATCAGGGTAGCAATTTTCTCTGCTACCTCGATTTTCTAATTAGCCCAAAACAAGTTGTTGGTCCTAAGTTTGTTCAGATGTTCTTGTTTAAGATAAGAGAGTAATAGCTTCCAATGATCTTTTTTTTAGCATTGGAAACAAAAGTTTAATTAATTTCTTACTGTACTTTACAAAAGTCACTATCAAAGATGGATTGCAAATTAAAGGAAAAAAATGCTTCACAGAAAATAATTTAAGAAGTACTATTTTAAATACCATCAGACTCCCCTAGGCTGGTTGTGTCATACCACCAAGGAGTATGTCTGGGCAGTGAGTGTGTGTGTGGGGGGGTGGGCAATGTCCTTGTCTGTCTGCAATACAAATCCCACATGAGAAGCTCCCCCACCCCATCACAAATACACTAGTAGGGATGCCCATTTAGTCATTTTCCCTTAGGTCTATGTGAAACTGGGAAGAATAAGACCCAGTTTCTCTCCAAGCTCTGCCCCTCCTCCGGAGGGAATTACTGTAAGAATGAAACACAGAAGCATGTAAGCATGAACCAACATTTTTATTATTACTCTGAGACCTCAGGCCATGGAATACACAGAAAAGCCTGAATGAGTTTAAGGAGGAGGGAAGGTCAAAATAGAGGTGTTCATGTTTGTGGGGTACATGAAGAATATTCTCTTCCAGGGTGAGTCTTCACACTGGTCCCGTGTCCATGATGAGCTGCATACCAGTCTCAGGCGGCCAACTTCCCAGCTGGCCTAGTCCTTGAACTTGCAGACATAAGGTAACTTCTCAGTACAGTCGTACTTTTCCCACATCAGAAATCCTGGAGAGACAGAAGACATAAAAGAAATGGGGTAGGAGGAAGCTTGTGAACCTAATGAAGAGGAATCTCAGGTTCTGCCCTAGAAATTAAAGCCTCTCTCACATCTTCACCAAGGGAAGGAGACACACACACACACACACACACACACACACACACACACACACACACAAAAGAGAGATGAAGGAGTCAAACCAATGTTGCATTTCCTAGCTCAGGAAAATTCCCTGAGGGTCAAGTTCAGGAATCGGGTGTGAGGGGTGGAAAAAACTGGGAGAGGTGGCTCCTCTGTTTCTTACCTGTACTTCTCAACAGGCTCCCACAGTGGCCGGGGGTTGCAATGGTACAAGGCTCTTTCTCCCAGGCAAGGTAGTTGAGCACATCACCGCTGCTCCACTCCCATCCATCCCCATTGGGCTCAGAGCCCTGTAGAGTAGAGGAAGCAGACAGGTGAAGGGAGTGGCTACTACAAATCTCCTCATGGATCCCCTTACTGTAACACCTGTCTCCCTCCCAGCATCAGGGAACTGGCTCTGCTCCTCCAGATGCTGCCCCAGCGCCCTCTACATTGGAAAGCTCTTCCTTAACTGCTTGTTCCTACTGGCAAATCCCAGCCAATAATCACAAGACCTCTGCAACTACTCAATGTAGTATGCTACTTCCTGAACAGTATTTGGTGGTGTGTTTGTGATTAGCCTCAGAATCTCAAAGACAACGTTTATTACATAGGGGGCAAAAACTGATTCTGTCTTTATTTAAGATTTCCTCAGAATAGTATGTACAGACTCCCTGAAACCCAGAGGACTGATTTACAAGACCTCATGTGAGAATTGTGTAAAACACTTGACAAGAGGCACATTAACTTCATCTGAAATCTAGCGAACTCCAAAGGAGTCAGCTCTTTTCTTGGCCTCAAGGACTTCCCTTTCCCCCAAACATCCCCCAGAACCTCCATTCCACTCTGTGATACTTCTTGGGCAGGTACAGGGAACAGGGAGTGGGCCTGGGTGACCATGGCCATCTGAGAGGTAGCAGAGAGGGGAGGACACAAGCGCACCAGAGTGGGGTCGTGGAGTCCAATCCAGATATTTGAGTAGCTGTTTGTAGTTCTCTTGACCAGGGAGGACACGAAGGATCCCTCAGCCCCACTGAGCACAGACACCAGGTGTCCAGAGGGCCGCTTCTGGCAGGCCAGCTGTGTGGGAAAGGGAGAGAAAGAGAGGGAGCCTGAGACCTCACAGGGGGGGAGGCAGGGCAGGGGTAGCTCAGAGAAGGATTGTCTGAAAGAAAAGGAGTTTGTTCTCATTCCCAAGGAGCTCTTGAGAATAAAGACTCCTCTCCCTGAGACCTGCATGGACTTTCCCTTGTGACCTCCAGCCCCACATCTAACCACTCACATCCGCATCCATCCAAGATTTGGGTGACAGAAACAAGGCATAGCAGTGGGAGGCATAGGCCTTGGAGCCCTGGGGACAGCTGATCCGTGGTGAGGGTACTTCCTTCTGAGGGTCTTCACCTGTGGTAGAGAAGATAAAGGGGAGGGATTGTGTGAAATGAAGAGTGGGGATTAGAGTTGGGGTGACCTTGGGGCATGTCTATAAGGCTTGTCCTTTGAGAAGAAAACCACATTCCTGACTCCCTCTCATGTTTGCTCACATTTTCAGGAATTCTTGGTCTCTAAACAGCTGTAGTAAATCTGGGAGCATCTTGTCTCCTTTCTCCTTATTCAATAGTCCAACACTTCCCTCACTGTGGGATGTCTGTCTCTACACTGATTCTTCCAATCTTCGTCCCTCCGCGGTTTTTTTTTTTCACTGATCCTTAGCACTTTACTTCTGCAACCCACCAGCAGAAATCAGAGTGCACTGACAAATGAGAAGCCATCTCATTCCACTGTCAGTGGGCCCCTGTGGTATCTTCCACCACCCGTTAACCTGAGGGAAGGTGTGATGATGGAGGAGTTGCAGGGAGTTTCACAGTGTGGGGATGCAGTTTCCATTACCACTGGAGACACACAGGAGCCTTCCTGCCCTCCTGGGCTCTGAACACTCACAGAGAACCCAGTGCTAGAGGCAGAGAATGCTTACCTTGGACCTGGGATAGGAGCACCAGGCAGGAGAGCAGCACCCAGGCAAGGCTGGGCAGGGTTCTGGGAGGCAGCATGGTGTCTGTGGCGTGGGGAGTAGTCAGAGGGCACTGCAGGAGTGTGGTCAGAGGGAGGACTGCTGAGATGCACTGCTTCTTCTCCTTTCCTTTATCTAGTCCCCTAGGAATAAAATTGATCTTGATCCCATTGTCTCCTTCTATAGTTATGGGATGAATTTGTTCATCTCTGTACCCTCTGCCTGTGAATCCTCCCGGGGCAGCTGTGCTGAGTCTCAAAGCTCCTGTGCTCTCTGAGGAAGGGACCCTCTTGCACCTTCTCCTGTGATGTATGAGATAAAACCCCCATGGGTCTCATATCTCAGCTCCCACTTACCTGTCTTGCAGGGATCTGGGGTGGTTTGTGTGGTTCTGGAAAATCTGGGCATTTTATAGGAGAATCTGAGGGGTGGGGCATTGAGATAAATAACAGGAATGTGTAGGAAGGGCTTGGCATTGGTTCAAGGAGATTTCCATCAAGGGGAGGAGACTCTTCCTCGCAAAGGTTGGGAATTGCCCCAGATGTTACCCTTTTCCCGTTAGCAGGTCAGCACTCTCTCCAGAAACAGGTGAAGTTTCCACTTTACCTACTTTTTCCTAGATATCTTGTTCTGAGAAATTCGCACATGCAAAGGCAGGGGTGTAAGAAAAATTCTGGTATTACTTAGTTCTGAAAATAGTATGGTGTTATACAGTTTAGAGAAATAATAGAGCTGTACATTTTTTTTTTTTTTTTTGAGACAGAATTTTACTCTGCTACCTGGGCTGGAATGCAGTGGCATCATTGTAGGTCACAGCAACCTCAAACTCCTTGGGCTCAAGGGATCCTCCTGCCTCAGCCTACTGATTAGCTGGGACTACGGGTGCACAGTATGATGCCAGGATAATTTTTCTATTTTTAGTAGAGACCAGGTCTTGCTCTATCTAGATCAGGCAGGTCTTGAACTACTGACCTCAAGCTATCCTTCCACCTCGGCCTTCCAGAGTGCTAGGATTACAGGCAAGAGCCACTGAGTGCCTCCCAGAAGCATACTCCTCAGTTCATTGTAATTCTGAGCAGGCAGTTTCATACTTCAGAGCATTCTCAGATAGTGATCTGCACTCCCATGGGGATTTTCTAGATGCTTTCAGAGTGGCTATGTACTTGTAATTTTCATAATTACACTAAAATGTTATTTGTCATTTTTACTGTGATGACATTTGCACCTATGAGGCAAAAAAAGAAATGATGGGTAGAAGTCCTGGTGACTTAGCATTAAACAACCTTTATTGTTCATGCTCATGCACTTGCAAGAAACAAAAAAGACATTTTCACTTAAAAATGTCCCTGAACTTGATGAAGCATTAAAGGTAGTTAAATTTAGTAAATCTCAACCCTTGAATACATCTAGAGTGAATATTCTTTTTTTTTTTTTTTTTTTTCCGTGGCGTCAGCCTAGCTCACAGCAACCTCAAACTCCTGGGCTCAAGCAATCCTGCTGCTTCAGCCTCCCGAGTAGCTGGGACTACAGGAATGCGCCACCACGCCCGGCTAATTTTATATATATATATATTAGTTGGCCAATTAATTTCTTTCTATTTATAGTAGAGACGGGGTCTTGCTCTTGCTCAGGCTGGTTTCGAACTCCTGACCTCGAGCAATCCGCCCGCCTCGGCCTCCCAGAGTGCTAGGATTACAGGCTTGAGCCACCGCGCCCGGCCTAGAATGAATATTCTTTATGACTAAATAGGAAGGCTATATCCTGAAGTATAATGACTATCTTGAGGAAAAGCATTTGTAACATTAAGTTTTATAATAATTTACAGTTTTCATGAAATGTGATTTTTACTTGAAAAAAAGACTGACAGATAAACTTTGCTTATTTTCATATGGATGTTTTGTTGACATGTTTTCAAAACTGATCAAATCAATTTTTGTTTTAATGTTTATTATATAAATATCAATAACTCACATGAACAAAAATTACTGGGATCTTCAATAAATGTTAAGAGTGTAAAAGTATCCTTAGATAAAACAATTTGAGACTGTGATTAATATCTAGCTACTAATGTCCAGGAAATATAGGAGATGAAGACAGGTTTTATGTTAAAACGCAGGGATACCATCAGCAAAGTCTAGAAAGTAGAAAATTCTACAGAACCAATGACTCCATTTCCTCATCAAATGAATTCAAGGAAAAAAAAGCAATATAAAACTCTGAATATGTGAGAGATATATCAATCAAATATAATGTGGGACCATATTTAAATTCTGATTTGAACAATCTGATGGGAATACATAATTATGATATAATTAGGTAAAAGTAGGTATTTGATCATGTTAAAGGATTATATTTTTTAGGTGTGATTATGGAATTGGGATTATATTATTTAAAGCATCCTTATCATTTTAAAATACATGATACAATAGTTAGAGATAAAATATTTTATTCTGAATTCACTTCAAATTAATCTAGTGTGATAAAGGTAAAGAAAGAGGGTTATAGATGAAACAAGAGACAGCATCAGGTAATGATTTTTGATAGTTACAGACATATAATGATTCATGGTATCTTTCTTTATGGGTTGTCTAAATTTTTTCATAAAATATTGGGGAAAAAGTTTTGGAAAAAAGAAACATTGAGAAAAACAGGAAAAAGAAATTTGAAGGTTAATCTGACTTAAGAACATCTATGTTCAAAATCCTGAACAAGGGAGGGGGGCGGGTGTATACATATATAATGAGTGAGATGTGCACCATCTCGGGGATGGTCATGCTGGAGACTCAGACTTGTGGGGGGAGGGGGGAAATGGGCATTTATTGAAACCTTAAAATCTGTACCCCCATAATATGCCGAAATAAAAAATATGGAAAAAAAATAATAATTCATAAAAAAATCCTGAAAAAATACTAAATGAATTAAATTCACGAATGCATATAATTAATGGAGAGAAGAAGAGTTAATCTCAGAACTGTAAAGATAGTTTATTATGGGGAACCATTAATGCAATTCTCACATTCAGAAACTAAAGGAGGAAAATATATAGTCATGTTAAAAGGAAAAAAATCATTAAGTGAAATTCAACACCTGTTAGTGAATGATAACAATTCTTAACAAGCAAGAGGTAGACAAGAATATCTTTAACATAATAAAGAAATCTATAGAGACTCAAAAGTAAAATCCTGAAAACATTTTCTTAAAAATTAAGAATATAAAAATAACTCTACCCTATTGATTCTTTTTAACAATGCCATACTATAGAAAGTACACTTAGGAAAAAAAAATTAAATAAGGAAAGAGAGTTAATTTAACTGTCACTATTTGCATATAATATGTTGTCTCTATAAAAAAAGAATCTCTAAGTTAATTGTTAGAATTGATGGGTGAATTTAGTAAGCAAAAAGAATATGAGATCAACATATAAACCCCAATTGAATGTTTGTATTCCAGTAACAGTTAGAAAAGGTATTTTAAAGAAAGATACTATTTATAACAGGAAGAAAAATATCAGGAGGTGTGGACTGTTTGTGGCTATCTTAATAGCTGGCTACCAGAGTTGGAACCTGGTACTTTGATAGACATGGGTCATGAGTTATGTGTCAAGGGCTTGATGTCTTTTTAATTTCCCAGTACATTCTTCTGAATCTGTGTACTACTGTTTATACACAGGAGGTGGAACTTCACTCAATTACATCCAGCAGTCCTCAAGCTCCAAATAAACTTGGATGTGTGGTGAAAGCAGGGAACAGGGTGTTCATCTTCTACTGTCTGATTCTATGGCTCTGTTTCAAAATGTTCATTTATGAATACGTTCTTTTTTTCACTTTAAAATCTTTCAGTGATTTTTCCATTATCTACCCTTATGATTACCTATTACTTCACAGCAAACTACCGCAAGTGACTTAAAACAATAACTGATTATTATTTCTCATGGTTCTCTGAGGCGACTGGGTTAATCTGCATGGCTTTCTCTTGGGGTCTCTGATGCAGCTGCAGATAATGGCTAGAGTTGGAGTCACATGAAGGATGAAATGGACTGGTCCTCAAAGATGAACACGCACGTTGCTTGGTGGTTGGTCTGGTTATTGGCTAGGAACTCAGCTGGGACTGTTAAGTAAAGCTCCAATGTAAGGCTTTCCCTGTGGCTTGAACTTCTTCCAGCACGGAGGTGTTAGGATAGTAAGATTTCTTTTACTGTTGGTGAGGACTCCAAGAGGGCAAAACCGAAGCTGCCAGTCCTTTTAGACTAGGTCATAAAATCACATAATGCCATTGCCAACATATTCTATTGGTCAACCATGAGTTTGTATTTTCAGCACCTAGCTCATTAAACGCTTAATGTTGTTTATTGTGTAAATTAATATATTCATTCACAATAATTTTAGCAATTATGGCAACTGCTTTTAATTTCATAATGCTTTACAGATTGAGAAGGTCTGAATTTTAATTTTGTTTCTTTTATTAAATGTGTTATTTTGAATACATGAGTTTATCCCCCCAAACCTACATTTCTCAATTCTTCAATGATGATGTTCTACAAAGAAGGCTCTGAGATATTCTGTAATTTTCTGATTGTTAGCTGGAATGCTGGAATATTATGAATGTGGGTCAAGAAATACCCTGCAAAACGTAGCTAGTGATTCCATATTAAAATTTCACCAGTCTTTGGGAAGGCCATCTTCTTAACTTACTGTATCAGTGAGATCATTTGTGAGTGAGCTTTGGAAAAAGTAAACCGCAGGCTGTCCCAAAGCTCGCCATACAAAGAAAAGATTTCGTAATGAATATTTTGTAAATAAAGGTACATTTAGCTACAATTTCCCATTTTCCCTATGTATGGTGACTTTTGGGACACCCTGTATTATAAAACCATCCTGGAAATATAGCTATTACAGAGAGTTTTCACTCTATTATCTTGTATTGGCTATTAAAAAGAACTTATTTTCAAGATGAAAGCATACACCCACTGTGATCTCCTTGCAGTGTTTGCATAAATATAATGAACTTAAAAAATCATCACATAGTATTTTAGATTAAATAACTTTATGCAAAGGGTGATCATTTTTTTAAGATCTGTGTGCTTATTCCCTATGAGGCTTTAGAAGAAAGAGCACTGTCCTTAAAGAATTTAACTGGAATATATGTGACAAACTACCAGGGAACAATCTGATCACTAGAGACCACAGTCATTCAGAACACCTTTCAAAAATTAGTAGATCTTGAGGGTTGCAGCCTGTTTTCAATTTTTCTTTGTTCCAGGGGCTAATTTGAGTCCAGCAATTATATACACTATACATTATACAAAGACCAATTATATATATACGTTAAAATACTATAATTTAATCTAAAAAAAAAAGCAGAATAGGAACCACAGTTCAATGCAGAA